ATTCGGAGTTACAGTGGTTGAGAATGACGAGAATGAGCTTATACCTACAAGAATGATCACTAGATGGAGGGTGTGCATTGATTACCAAAAGCTGAACGCTTGCACAAGAAAATACCACTTCCCATTGCCAACCCTCGATCAAGTTCTAGAACGAGTAGCGGGGCAACTATTCTACTTCTTTGTAGATGGATACTCTGGCTACAATCAGATCGAGATTGCTTTGGAGGATTAAGAGAAGACCACCTTCACGTGCCCCTATGGTACCTTTGCCTATGGCCGCATGCCATTTGGACTATGCAATGCTCTAGGGACGTTTCAACACTATATGATGGGGATTTTCAGTGACATGGCAAAAAAGATAGTGGAGGTCTTTATGAATGACTTTTCGGTGTTTGGGGATTCATTCGAGGGATGTTTGGCAAACTTGGAGAGAGTTCTAACAAGATGTGAGGAGAAGAATCTAGTCTTGAATTGGGAAAAGTGTCACTTTATGGTGACAGAAGGAATTGTGCTTGGCCATATAGTTTCGAAAAGGGATATTGTAGTCAATAAATCCAAGGTGGAGGCTATCTCTAACCTCCCCACACCAGGAGCCATCAAGGGCATTCGGTCATTTTTAGGCCATCCAGGTTTTTGTCGTCGATTCATAAAAAATTTCAGTGCATTAGCCCAACCCTTGACCAACCTGCTATCTAAGGAGGTCCCATTTGAGTGGTCAGATGATTGTGAGGCATCCTTTAAAAAACTTAAAAGCATGCTAGTCACACCTCTGATCATGCGACCACCCAATTGGGATTTACCTTTTGAGCTCATCTGCAACGCGAGTGATTACGCGGTCGGCGCAGTGCTCTGTCAGAGGGAGGAAAATAGACCATATGTGATATACTATGCTAGCAAAACACTTAGTGAGGCTCAGATGAATTACACTACCACCAAGAAGAATTGTTAGCAGTAGTGTTTGCCTTAGATAAATTTCGTTCTTACATCATTGGTTCGCCTATTGTTGTCTTTACTAATCACTTTGCTTTGAAATATTTGTTGTCTAAGCAGGATGCAAATCGAGACTCATTAGGTGGATACTCCTCCTATAAGAATTTGACTTGACGATAAAGGACAAGAAAGGAGTGGAGAACGTGGTGGTAGATCATTTATCCCGGCTTGTGGTGCAACAGGCCGATGAGCACATTCCTATCCTTGACTTTTTCCCTGACGAGCATTTGATTGCAATTCATTATGCATGTCCTTGGTATGCTGATATATGTAACTATCTTGCAATAGGACAGATACCACCGCAATGGAGCTCAGAAGATCGAAGACGATTTATAGCGGATGTGAAGTACTTCTACTTCGACAACCTATATTTGTTCAAGTACTGCCCTGACCAAATCATGAGGTGATGCATACCTGAAAATGAACAGCGGGACGTTCTTGCATTTTTCCATTCACAAGCTTGTGGTGGACATTTCTCTAGGAAAAAGACTTTGGCCAAAATTCTTCAATCAGGTTTTTATCGGCCCTCTCTTATCAAAGATTGTGTTTCGTTTTGTAAGGAATGCAACAGATGGCAATGGTTGGGTAGTGTGACTCAAAGAAACATAATGCCCCTTTAACCAATACTTTTCATAGAAATATTTGACTACTGGGGCATCGACTTCATGGGTCCTTTCCCTATGTCATTTGGTTATTTGTACATCTTCCTAGTGGTGGAATATGTGTCCAAATGGGTGGAGGCTATCCCGACCAAGACTAATGACCACCGGGTCGTAGTCAAGTTTCTCAAAGAGAACATCTTTTTGAAGTTTGGGATGCCTTATGCAATAATAAGTGATGGTGGATCACATTTATGTAATAGGTCATTTACATCTCTAATGTTCAAATATGGCGTCACTCACAAAGTATCCACCGCCTATCACCCATCAACAAATGGCTAAGCCGAGCTAGCTAATAGGGAGATCAAGAAGATTCTAGAAAAAATGGTTAACCCAAATAGGAAGGATTGATCCGATAGATTGATTAATGCCTTCTGGGCATACCGCATTGCTTTTAAAACTATTTTGGGCATGTCTCCCTACCAGCTTGTCTATGAAAAGGCTTGGCACCTGCCAGTCAAAATGGAACACAAGGCCTATTGGGCCATTAAGACTTTAAATTTTAATTTGAGAATGGTCGGTGAACATAGGAAGTTAGAGCTGAATGAGTTCAAAGAGGTTCGACGAGATGCGTATGAGAGCTCCAAAATCTCAAAAGAACGGGCCAAAATCTTTCATGATAACTCCATCATAAGGAAATCATTTGGGCCCGGGCAAAAAGTACTTTTATACAATTCTCGCCTTTCAATTTTTCAGGGCAAATTTCGATCCCGTTGGGATGGCCCCTTTCTCGTAAAGGTGGTCTACCCCAACGGAGCTGTTAAAATCACAAATCCTGAGAATAGCCAAGCATTCAAGGTCAATGCTCAACGACTTAAGCCATTCTTTGAGGATTTTGCTAGGAAAGAAGTGGAGGAAGAATTGATTGACCCGGTCTATCCGGACTTGGGGTAGGAGTAACTAGTGTTTATGCATTCTAGTGTACAGTTGCTTTTGTTTCCCTATGTTATTTTTATCTCATGTCACTTACTTTCTTTGGTTGTATAGTATTGCTTTTCTTCATTTTCGATCTTGGTACTTTTGTCAAAAGCTCATTTGTGAGGTACTCTCTAACCCTACTCATTCTTTTTTCCTGTCCTTCATTGTTTATCGTATCTTTTTGTTGCATTGAGGACAATGCATGATTCAAGTTGGGGGGTGAGGTGCACCATTTGCATGATACCCCAATGTTGTTAGGAAAAATTTTTGTGATACAGATTTTTGCTTGCATTACATTAGTTGCATTAGTGAAAAACATGTGAAAATTTTGAAAATTTTTGATGGAAAATATCTAAAAGTTGATCTGTATTCCCTTATGAAGAGTGTGTGGATTGGATGACGTATTTATCTTTGTTGTGAAGTTTGAGAACATGAGCATACCATGGAAACTGACCCTATGCATGAGTATCACCTATGTATTGATTTTTGAACTCGACTATATGTGACCTTTGAATGCGTAATTTCAGCAATTTACGGATTGGATTCATGTTCTAGGCGTGACATAAGTAGTGGAGATGAGTAAGAACCCATGTGAGCTTTAATGCCAATCCTTGTTTGGAGGGAACTTACATTTACTCAAAGAACAATTTTTCAATGTCAAATTTGTTCAATATTCTCATCATACTTGTTTTGGTTAGGTGCATCTGGATAGTAGATTGACTTGTTTTGATTATACAATGCCATCCCATGCATACCTGGAAGTGATTTTAGGTCATCTTTGAAATACTTTGAGCCTTAACCCTTTTTCTTGTGCAAAGATTATCCCTAGTGCCGTGATTGAGCCTAATTTAAATTCATTTCTATGCCACACATTTGACCAAGTCAATGAAAATAAGCAATATCTACCTTACCTTGGTTGTTCCTTGAATTTAAATATGAGTGATTGCAAAAGTAAAGGAAGAGTGGTGTGGAAACTCAAACAAAGGGATGAATGATGTTGCAACTCAAAGAGTTCAATGGAAAAGAATGAAAATCCAAGAAAAGGAAGAAAATGGGTGAGAAGAAGAAAAGAATGAACAAAAGAAAAGGAAAATGTCAAGGAAAAGAAAGAAAGAAACAAAGAGTGTGGTGATGATGTTAGCCTAGAAATCCCATAAAAGGGAGAACTTTTTTTGAAATAAAGGTCATTCACTCAGAACAACCCTCTTTGTCATCCTATATCCTTCATTTCACTTACCTTATTACCACCCCAAGGCCTCATTACAACCCTCAAAAGTCCTAAATGATCTAGAGAAAGCATGAGGGAAGCATACTTTTAAAGAACAAGAGAAGTTGGTTTAGCTGTCTAACGCCTTAGCATTCCTTTTTTGAGATTATGCCAAGGTTATTTTATTTTTCATATATGAACTTCATTTTTGGATTGCATGTGAGTACACTTTGTTTTGAACACAAGATTCTATCTCATATGTACACATGGAGTGCATACTAGGAGAACTAGAGTGCATTTCATTGTTTAAGAGTGACCTCCAGTGAGTTTTGCATTGAAACTGAATTTGGCAAGCTATTCGAATGTGAATTCTATTGCGTAAATACTCCAATTACTTGTTCAAATTCACACACACGAGTTTGAAAATTAATGGGTAGGTGCATACTTTAGACTAGTATTTGAGACCATGGTTTTGTCTATGTGTGCTTAGTTCAATCATCTGAAAAATGTGTTAAATAGCTCCATGCTTGTAGATTGGGAGAATATTGCTCAAGTTTTTGATAGTTGAAAAGGCTTAGGAATACCTGTGTTGTTTGAATCCGTGTTTACATGTTGGGTATTCATTTTGGTAGTTTAGGTTGAAACCCATGCTTCATGCGTAATAATATCAAAATCTTAAATCATTTTGCAATTGCGGACATGACTTTGGGCATGATTAAAATTGTGGTCCATAGATGTAGTTCAAGTTTTTGGTAGGTAAGATAACTTTGAAAATGTGCTAAAAGGTTTTGGAATGGAGAAAGGATGGATTGGATGTGAATTTTTGAACAAAGGATTAGTTTTGCAGCAAAGGCAAAACCTTCCGTAAGGTTTAGTTAGAAACCTTTCGGAAGATCTTGTCCAGTGAGCAAAACCTTTTGAAAGGTTTTTGTCGACCTTCTGGAAGGTTTTGCCCAGAAACCTAAAAATGGGGGTTTTAAATTTGATCTTTTCAAAAAACTCTTAATTTTCCCCCAAATCATATTAGGCCAAACCCCATCCTGTCCTCCTACTCTCTTCTAACCTTCAATTTAGTTCCTCCAAACCTCAATTTACCTACCTTCTATTGATTAGGGGTGAGATCTAGTGGGATTTAGCTGAGTTCTCTTCATAAATCCTAGTTCTTAATCCTTGCTCATAACTCTCAGTTGTTCTTTAATCCCTCTAAATTCCCTCTACTCAATGCGATGGCTCGGTTAAATGGAACGACTATGGGAATATGGGAGCCTTTTGAGAGTCTATGGTGGTGGTGCATGATGGTTCTTGGTCTTGGGGCACAGTTGTACCTTATGGCTGGAACAAAGAATACAGGGCCTGTGTCTCCACCCCCCTCTGGCTCTACTTCTCGAAAAAGGATTGAAGAAGGTCCTAGCTCCTAGGATAGGGAGGACCGGAGGACAAAGGCAAGACATGACGCTAGAAGATAGAGGATTGAATAAAAGGGGGTGACATGTGAGAGGTATGTCGACAAGATCACTCTTGGACCTTCGAATGAGGTGGTGAGAATCATTGAAGAACAGGGACTAAATTGTTGGTTCAATGAAGGCAAGGGGTACAGCCTGTGGATGTGTTGCGAATTTTATCAGAAGTTGGTTGTTTTTGGTGATAATGGGGGTAAACTGAGGATGAATGTGAGAGGGAAGACATTAGAGGTTACCCCTACCACAATTGCCATGGCAATGGGGTATGCCAGGCCTCTCGTATCCACCCTAGTCTACCTACACAATGTGGAAGACAGTAGGACCCTCTAGGATTACGTAAACCCCACTTTTGGGGACCTGACTATGTTCATGGTAACGACGTTGGTCAAAAGCCTCAAGCATGCATATGGGATCATGAATAAGGTGCTGCATTATAATTTAATGCCTCGGAGTTCAGAGAAGAGTTGGCTTTACTACACGTATTCATGACTAGGGTTACCATTGATGTGGCTTATTTTATTTGGTTAGAGATGAGGGAGTTTGCCTGGGCTGCAAAGCCAAAGGCAAATCTTCCCTTTGGTAGCCTCGTCACTAAGTTGTGTGACCAAGCTAACGTGAAGCATTATGCTCATGATACACTACTCCCCCTAGAGAACGAAGCCATAGGAAAGTCTAGCAGTTTGAAAGGGCTTCCAAGACTAGGGGTGAGGGAGCGGGGGCACCAAGGGCACAACCATCTGATGTGGGAACATCATCTACAGCACCCCCACTGCCTACACCTACCCCGGCTTACACAATATCACAGTGCATGGATGCTTTAGAGTCGATAGTGCATGGGATTTCAGAGATGATGCTGCAGCTTTTTCAGCATACTTTCCCAAGAAGGCCTATCCCTAGAGGACCACCACCCTCACAGCCTTCGACTGGACCTTCAGCTTCTATTCCCAAACCCTTAGTAACTGTTGAAATGGATGGCGAGGAGGAGTCAGAGTCAGAGTCAGAGTCCGGGACTGAGAATGAAGATGCTTTTGATGAGGAGGAGGACTGAGACTTTTGGGTTCTGGTGAACTATGATCATACGCTGTTAGGGTTTCTTTTGGTGTTGGCCTGTAGAGGTGCCTCTAGATTTTGGCCGTCTTTTGCTTGGGGTTTTCAACACATTGTAAAGAACTTTTTGAAAGTAATTCATGAAATACCACAATTGGTTATTTATCGTTGCTCAAAGTTATTCCCTTAATTGCAATGTGATTTTTGGATTTTGAATTGTTGTGATTTTTGCTTGTTGTGATATTTGGTTTTATGGATGAATGGTTATGTACTTATTGCTTGTGGTTGGAAATAATATTTGCTAGGGACTAGCAAAGCTCAAGTTTGGGGGTGTGATTAGCATAAAAACATGACATATATTGTGCACTAATATGCCTCTTATACTTGCTTTTGTCATGAAATTGGGGAGAATTGGGTTTAACTTGCGTTTTGATGGAATCTTGTGTGAATGCAGGTAAAACAATGTAAATGGCATGAATTAAATCCTCATTGAAGTGGGGTAGGTCAATGATGAGGAAGGGGTAGCTTAAAGCAAGGTTTGGAGGGTTAAGAGACTAAGAAAAACCAAGAAAATTCAAGTTGGTTGAAAACCTTCTGGAAGGTTTTATCCACTGGAGTGAAACCTTCCAAAAGGTTTTGCCTACTGGAATGAATCTTCTGGAAGGTTTTGTCCACTAGAGTGAAACCTTCCGGAAGGTTTTGCCTACTGGAATGAACCTTCCGAAAGGTTTTGCCTGCTGATCCCTTCATTTAACTATTCCTGCACAAACCTTCCGGAAGGTTTATGTCAACTTTCCCGAAGGTTTTTGCTAGATTCCCTAGACAACCTGTAACTTAACTCTACAGCTTGCGGGTCCCACTTACACTACTCCATCAAGTCTCCTGAGATTCCTCCCTCACCCCTACTTGGTCTTGATGATGCTTAGGCATTAATGAGGAGGAGAGAGAAGAAGCTTGTAAGAGAGAAGAGTGGAGGCTGGTCCTAGTCTACACCATGCAGTTCCTATGGATGGAAATCGCATCACTCAGCTGAGGGAGCAGGCTATGGACGTTTTTTGGGGGAAATGACTCCATTATTGAGGATTCCATACACTACACAGAGGATATAGAGAGAGGGAGTTTGGAGAAGATGATGAATAGTGTTCTATAGAGATAAATTGAAATTTTTACATTTTCATCAATACATTGTCTTGTAATCTCCTGTAAGAATCTTTAGAGCCTCATTGAATGTCATTAATACTAGTTCCTACAAGTTCATTGCAAGTTCAATTCCCTTTTAAAGCTTTCACCATTAATGCATTTATGTTCTTCATTCTTCATGCTTGTAAAATAGGTATTCATTGCTTTCACTTATAGTTTATGTTTGCTTCCATTTAGTTACTCAAGAACTTCATTCCTTTGCAATGCATTCTTATTTCATTGTTAATTTCATCCCAAGCATGAGTAGCTAAATCCTTTAGTTGGCAAAACCAAGGGGAACCTCCATTTGGGGAGGCTATTTCAATTCATTCTCCTCCCTTCTTTCAAAGTTCAATGGTTCGATTTGACTGGGTTGAGGGTGGATTAGTTGGTGAGTCTTTGATATTCCGTAGGCCTAGTCACGATTTATGCTTAGATACTCACCCATCTGATCCTTAGCTTCCAACGAATCAATCAAACATTTATACTCTATTGGAGGAGGGATTCGAGTTGAGATGGTATCCCTATTGGAGTGACCTCTTGGATTAGCCAACGTTTGTTTCTCATTTCATTTTCACCAAAACACACTTCACCAAACAACTTTCAACAACAAAAGATTTTACACTTTCTTTCACCCAAAATCACCTTTCCTTTGGTTCACATCCTTCCCCATGGAAACGACCTTGGATTACCTCCAAGTAAAACACGATCCATAAAATCTCTTTGCGCTTGGGGAGCATTTTTGTTCATACACATAACACATTTCCACCATCCCATTTTTCCATCTCCTTGCCCTTTCTTTTGACGCTAATTAAAGGGAGAGTGACATTCCCCTCCATCCATATAAAATGCATTTTGAGGGATGATATATAGGGGTTAGGGATGACAAGCAAAATAACCAAGCAAAGCTCCAATAGATGGGAATGTGGATCCCGAGGTGAATGCTTAAAGCTATATTCTCTTATGTTCTAGACTAGGAAATTCATTTTGAGACAATATGAAGTCTAATATTTTTGTTATTCTGCTGCAAGATAATAGTTGATTTTTTGGATGTAATTACCATAGTTGGGGATATTCTTTTGGATGATGTTGTATATATTGTGGATGAAGAATGAAATTATCTTGAGTTACGAAGTTCATTTAGTTGCTCTCATCATATGAATGGTTGTAGACAGTAATGTTGTCCAAGAGGGAGTTTGGGGCGTTACAAGACATGTGTAACATTGTTTGGGTAATGAAAGTGCTGATGTTTTATTTATTCCTTAACATTTATACCTCCTTTAAATGATGGATGCCTCTCATTTTATGTTCTGTACTATGTGTAACTTAGGTTATGCTCATAGTTGCAAGTGCTGAGCTAGACTTACTGTTTATTGCCCTTTCATCTTTACTTTATTAAGTACTTCATGTATGATACAATAATGCACGTAATTGGGATTTAGGTAACAGTCAAGAGATTGATTATAGACTGGTCAAGTCTCGCCCTAGCCAATGCTTTTGATTCAATGCATAAACTGAAACTCCGTCTTTGTTGAATCATAGACCTTTCGATCGAATTGCCATAGTAAACCTTATAAATGGTTCACCTTCATGTTTACTAGGGTTATGTGGTTGTTGTATCATGCATAGAACTTCTGGCTAATCTAACAGTTGTTGTGGTATGGTTCAGCATATACATCAAATCTATCGATTAACTTTCCGTTGACACGGGAGTTAATGGATATAAGGTGACATTATCATAATTTCAAGCAATTAAATGCATGTTGGATCCCTGAACTAACGAGTTACTTTTTCATTTGTTGTAATCAAAGTTTATTTTAAGTTTTTATGTATCAGTTCTTAAGCTCACACCAGAAGTTGTTGTAATACACACTATGCATGCGACAATTTTACGATTTTCTTTCTATAAGTTTCCAACAGATATCTCCCTGCGGATTCGACCTCGAACTTCACCGAAAAATATTACAACTTGACCACTTATACTTGGGTGTATGATTAAGATCAAGTCAGTACAGATATTGTCTTGTTGGTCTCTTGGCACATCAGGTGATGGAAGCAAACCAAGATTGAAAATGGTTTTTAAGCAATTTCCATGAAGGCAATGCCTTAAAAAATGCCAATTACATTGCACATTCCTCTAGTGCTCTATTGTTGTAGCTGTGGTATGTCTCCTTAGCAAAGTTTCATCTCAACTTCTAGATCAAAAAGCACAAAGTATTTAGGGAAAAAAAAATTGTCATTTCTGAGAAGGGGAACCCGATGTAGATCTTCCCTTATGATTATACACGTGGAGCTAGACTCTTTACCTAGAGGGGAGATGATGAATAATTTTTTCAATTTTAGCCTAATTGATTACCAATAAAAACCTAAACCACCATAATTACCTCTTCCAACAAAGATATAACAAATACTATGAGACCCTATTTAGTCAACTCAACCTAATTTAACTATGATGATTGATTTTAATTAATTCACTCATAATTAATCTCACAGCGATCCCAAATCCCATACCCAATTTGCACAACTATGGTTGAATGGTTATCAAACAATTATTTTAACAAAAACATAGTGCGCGTGTGTGCAAATAATCAAAAGTGTATACGATAAATAATAAATAACACGAATGATTTTTTGACGTGAAAAATCTTCCTCAAGAAAAATTGTTGGGTAGCTTCTCAGTCCACCAAAACCTAATTCACTACTCACTAAGTCAATATACAAGTACTCGAGTCTTATACCTTAATCAATACCATGGCTAGATGCTTTTTTGTTTGTTGTCTCTTTGCTAAGGGCCTTTCTTCGACATCTAGCATAGCTTCATTTGAACCTCCTTACTGCACGATTTGTCTAAGCCTCAAGTAGTCATGGGCACACCAATAATTTTTGATATGCACAGACCAATGGATTTGGTTCTAAACCTTCAAGAGCTTCACACCAAGTTGTGAGGTTGGATATAATCTCTAGTGTTAGCCTTTGAATGTAGGGATCTAGATTCGTAGTGGAAGCTCTCAAGGTAGAATAAATGTTTTCTTTCTTAGAAATCTCTTAAGAGGCTTAATGTTACCCCCTTAGCTTATTGGCTCGACATTGGCATGTGGTTATCTCGCCCAAAGGCACCCATGCCTTAGTCAAAATTGGGTTATCCTTGGTGAAGTAAACCCCTGTGCAAAGTTGGCTTTCGAAGAACTTGGATGTTTACTTGGTTATGAAACAAAATGGTTCGGCAAAGGCTTAAGTAGCATGTAGCGACTATGCCCTTGACTTAAGTTGTTTTGACTCCTTGGCTTAGAGTTTGTCTGTTGTTGTCACTGCATTTTTTCTTCGTAATGCTATTTAGGGGGGGAGGGGTGCTCCGCGAAAGACCAAATATGCAGAAGCTTCAAAAATCTACAAAACTAAGCTTGTAGATTATTGTCCATGGACAATTAAATTTCACTAAGTAAGAATGGATCAACCTTAAATCTTTAAAAAATCAATGCATCAAGGCCCAACCTTCTTCATTTAAGAATTTTCATTGATGAAAATCTTGGTCCCATTGATTGAAATCAGTCTAAACCTAATTTTTATCAAATAGAAAATTCAAACTAAATAGATATAACTAATCTAAGATGTACCCCTTGTTGAAAAAACCCAACAGATGGAGTTGATTCTCTTAGACTATTCCACGTAATTAAGATAAAAAAAATCTCAAAATATCGATTCAAAATGGTTTCACAAAATGATTCGAACATGACTGAATTATAGGAAAAAAATTATCTACCCCAAAAGAATAAAAAAATCTATCCACATGTCTTCCTTCCAAAAAGAAAGGAAATAGTGTAT